CCCCAAAACCCCAAAACCCCAAAACCCCAAAACCCCAAAACCCCAAAACCCCAACCATAAATTTTCAGATTGAATGACTTTTTTCCCAGTTCTTTACCAGAGGTGCCTACAAGGCATGACTATCTTTCTCACTCTCGTAGTACTCCATGTCTATTTTCTCCAAAATAAAGCTAGGAATGTTATTCTCCATGAGGTACTGGTGCAGATTGTTAGTAGCATCAAGCTCTTTCCGGATCTCGATGATCTTCTGAGTAATCTTGTCATCGTCATTTTGTACTGATGTCGCTAGCAAGTTCCTGATCATCTCTTCATTTGAGAGATCCTCGTCCTCTTCGTTAGGAGTGAAGATGAATCGTGGTGTTTGAGGGATGAAGGCAAGGATTTGTTCAAAGCTTAACTGGTAGAAGATCGGCTCAAACGCCTTTAGCAAGAATATAGACGCCCTGAATACTCCTTTGTTCCCAAATACAATGAAGTAGTCCCATAGTTTGAGTAAGGCTTCGTTTATACATTCGGATTTTTGGAATTGGATTGTGTTTGCAAAAAGAGTTATGAACCAACTTGCTCCAAATAAGCTAGCTTGGACAGTCTCATCTTTGAAATGACTGTATAAATCTGGGAGATACATGCTTATAAGTCTGTCTAATTTATAGAAATACTGCTTGAGCAGAGGGAGATCATCTTTGAATAGCTCTCCCATATTGTTTATCTCAATAAGGCCACTGAAAGCTTTAAAGGTGATTGACTCGTCTTTGAAAAACATGAGTAAGAAACCTGCTAGGAAATTCATCCCTTGACAGTATTTTATCTCAGAGTTATAGAATGCATATGTCCTCAGAATATTCTTTAAAGAAGCTTGATCAAGCTTTTTGATGTTAGTATAGGACCTATGCACATCCATTGCGATGACTTCATTCACAGATTCTATGAGCTCAGGATTTTGATCAATTTTGGCTCTCATTGCTTCATATTCAATCAAATTATCCTTAATTTTCAGGAAATGCGACCATATTGCATATCTTTTTGTATAGGTAAGAGTCTTCTTATCTGTTTGGAGAAGTCAATGTTTGTAGATTTCGTCCTTCAAGACTTCATAAAACACTCTACAAGACTTCAGAATATTAATACAAGTTATATCATCACTAATGTAGGGAATTACTAGGCCAAGAACCATTGTGTTGTTGTCATGCCCGTATAGTTTCAGCCTTTCATTTCTTTTCAACATCGGAATCATCATTTTTTCCTTATCTGTCAGAATGTTTCCTCCTCTTCTTGAGACAGCTTCGAGTTCGGTTAATACAGTATGGACTTGAGTCTTGTTGATTGAGTATTTCTCACAAAAATAAAGTACCAATTTATTTACCACCTTCTAGTGACACTCCAAAATTAGCAAAGTGGTAGACAAACTGACTAAGAACATTAAAAATCAGATTCTTCGTAATTACGTCATTTTTCATATCATCATCGTTATTTCCCTTGCCAAGCATGAATCGTCCAAATCCTTTGATGCCACCCATGAGACGGGATCCAACCTTTTTGGCTGGTTCTTCGCCACTGGTATAGTTAGTTATGCTCTTTCTACGCTCGTTGTATTCCTGTCTCTTGTCTTCGATGACCTTGTAAATCCAAAGGATCCACTTGGATATGTCTTGCCAGATTCCATGGTTTCGAATTAAATGTGTGAGCAAGATTTTCCTCATTGACTTTTGGTCAATCGCATAGACATTCTGTGAGCAGCTCAAAACTGAAATAACTATGTTAAAGTCATTATGCTTGTCATGAATTGATACTGTGATAAGATATTTTATAATCTCTGCTAGAGACTTTAGAATTTCTACACTTTCAAGTCTTCGAGGTGTCTTTATCGAGTTCAAATGGTTTGACAATACAGTATCAATATAATCTTCGTGGATAAGCTCAAACACTTTAAGCTGGTCTTCTTTAGTAAGGGCTTTGCCTTTGAAGAGACCTTCTATAGCATGCTTGACAAAACCTTTGTTTGAGTTAAAGCTCTCTGTCTCTTTTCTTTCCTCTGTGGTATCCTCAATGCTACCAAGCCCCAATAAATCATGTTCCTCTTGTTTCGAAGTTCCATCAAATGTTTTGCTGGAGGAAATTCCGAGTGAATTCCTTGAAGGATTAGTATCGAGCGACTGACTTCTGCCTACATCAACAAAATCTTCCAGCGATTCCCTGCTGTTTAACCTTTCTTGTCTGTTCTTAATGATTTTCTTCGAATAGTCAAATGAGACAAACTCTTTCTTCTTGTAAAATTCATCTTTAGACCTATTCTCATCGATAAAAACTCTGGTATCAGTCTGCGGGTTCATTAGGTCAACAGAGCTAATAGATTCAGAGATCTTTTCACTAACGAGCTCTCCAAGGTCTGCGAAGGTGTTAAAGAACTTCTTGAGGCAAGTTTTAGTAGCATCAATTCTCTGTTCATCTTGGTCTTGGAGTTTATTCAACCAATCCTTATACAGCACTTGTGAATCATCGACCAATTTATTAAAATCTTCGAGTTCTCCAATATACTCATGGTAGCTAAGCTCGGTCTGCTTCTTGATGTCAAAGGTTTGATTGGAGCGTCTCTGGACTTGTGCAAAGGTGATTGCCCCTTTCTCATGATCCTGGATAGCCTTCTCAATATCGAGATCATAAACCTCTCTCTTTTTACACATCTTGTAGTATTTATTCTGAGTCCGTTTAACGTTGCCATCTGATGTTCTCATCTCATACATGAATTTATGAGCTTCTTGGAGATAGCTAGCTGTTTTGACTGTATAAGTTTTCATAAATTCGTCTATTGGGTCAATTCATTTGTTAACAGCGATGTTTAAATATCAATCGAAAAACTCTGTCATAGTCCTGATTCTACCCGGAAGTCCTGTCATGCAGACATAGGTAGTGTCGCTTATGTTCGATTCAGCTTTAATGTCCTTCTCGAAAGCATCAGTAAGCTTGTGTATTGCTGAGATAAAAATCTCTGCATTTTTCGTAATGCCTCTCATAAACTCGGTCAATAGTTTAGAATTTTTCGCCATTTTCTTGTTATGAGCAGAAATACTTTCTAAAGAGTCCCAAAGATCCTCAGAGTACTGAAGATGCTCAAATTTCTGTGTGCTAATGACAGGATTATCAGGTGTGTCCTCAAGAATGCCAAGTAGGTCTTCCATATCTCTCCAAGTAAATATTATTTATTAAAATCCCCTCTCTCATCTCCCAATTCTATGATGACAAAAAGGGGTTTTGGGGTTTTGGGGTTTTGGGGTTTTGGGGTTTTGGGGTTTTGGGGTTTTGGGG